GACCCCCTCCCCTGCCTCCCAGCCAAAAATCTGCTGACTAGGCAGGGCCCGACCCCTGGGGGGGGCGGGCAGAGACTGAGACTGGCTTAGCAAGGATGCTTTTGTCCTCCCTGACAGGCAGCCCACCCTTCCCCCAGGGCATCAAACATGCTTCCCCAAAAAAACCACGACTTCTCCCACGCCCCCCGTGTCACCAGAGTGGCAGCGATCCTCTGCAGGCTGCCAGCAAGCTGCGTCCTGCCCTGCTTCTTCCCAGGCTGGTCCCCGAGCAGCCAGCCCCCGGCCCCCTCCCCCCTGCCGGCCTCCAGCCCCGCTGCGGCAGCAGGGCCTTGGGAGCACTGGGAGGGTTCTGAAAAATGTGAAGGTCGCTGTAAATAATATCTGTGTCCACTGTGGTGTGTTGGAGCAAGCAAAAAAAAAAAAAAAAAGTTTTCCTTTCAATTCTTTTTTTTTTGTTGTTGTTTATTTACAAGTTCTGTGCAACATTGTGCTTTCCTGTGTGGATGTGTAGCTGAACCATACTCACCACTAGGCTCCTTGCTCCTCTAGGGGGTAGATAGGACCCATGGGTTTGGGAAACGTACGCTATTTATGGTCCTTCCTCCCAGTGCATCTGTCCACTTTTGTTAAATTTCAATAAAATTTATTTGTAGAGCCCACAAGCCCAAGAGCTGTCTTGACTGGGGAGTGCGAGTGGCTGTGCCCATGGGGGGAGGAAGGAGATGCTGGAGACCTGAGGGGCGGAGGGCTCTGCTGTGCTGTTCTGTTTGCTGTTGGCGCTTTGAGCCTCCTGTTTTTCCGGGAGGGAGATGTTTGTGCATGTGTGGCTGAACTGGTGGTGAAGGAGCCCTGGGTCGCGGCTGTTTCCCTGTGCCCCAGTTTGGCACATGGCACTGGCGGCAGCTGGTGGCTTTGTCGAGCTGCGCCTCTGCTCCTAGCTCCTATGACATACTTTAAATATGTAACTATTAGGTGTTTATATAAATATATGTAATTTTCTTGTTCAGCCCAATAGATTTGGAGCTCAGGCCCCTCCCCTCCCATGTGGGGTCTGGAGGGACCTGGGTGCCGCAGGCAGCGCAGCCTCAAGCCGACCTCTTCCCATCCCTCTGCCTGAGCCCCACCAGGGGGAGGATCTGCCCGTCTGCTCCTTCATCGCCTGCCCTTGCCAAATGAGTGCCTCATTAATCACCAGGGCCTGATGACTTTTTCGAACCCGGTGTGACCCTGTGCCGGGATGCTGCCTGTCCCCCAAGCGGTGCTGGCTGTCCGTGGGGCGAGTGTGATCTCGCTTTGTGCCCTGCGTCCTGCCCCTGGACAGCCTGCAAATGTTTTCCTGCAGCCACCGCCACCTCTCATCATTTCCTCCACGCAAGCCGGCTCGGAAACGAGCCGCTGACGAAAGCTGTAATCAGAGTGAGTGGTGCGGCATGTCCTGCCAGCACTTGGGCTTGCAGGGGACGAGGCTCTGGGACTTTTGCCCATTGATCTGTAGGGGCCCCAACCCTGGGAGGGATGGATCATGGTGGCCTCGAAGGGGATGGGGTGGCTGCGCGGGGCGTTACAGCTCGGCAAGGTTAAACAAGGCAGTGGCTGTGGCTCACTGGCCCTGCAAGTGTCTCTGTGTCTGCCGTGGACACCCCAGTTTCCTCCCCCTTGCTGCCCGCGGGGCAAGGCCATGCCTGCAGCCCCCAGCCTGGGGCAGAGGTGGGTGCCAACCTCCCCTCCTGGCCCCGTGGCCACTCTGTCCCCAAGCTGAGCATCTTGGCCAGATCCATCCAGAGCAAGCGGATGTGACTAACGCCCCGTTATCCGGCATCTGTGATGGATTCGCAGCGGCTCACGTGGGATAGCTCACCTGCTCGGCTCGGCCTGGCCACTGCCCACCTCCGATGCCCCATGCCCCTCTCCGCTGGCGTGGCAAAGCCATGCCGGGCTCTCATGCCCAGGTGGGTATGGCTTAGCATCCTCTCGTGGTCAGCAGGGTGAGAGGACAGGGGAAGTGGGATGTGTCCAGCGGCCCCCTCCCAAAATCCAGGGTCTTCCCTGTGGGAAGGGAGGAGGGAGACAGAGGCAGGCGATGCTGAGCCCTCTGTGGGGACAGCAGCATGAAGCTGCATTGTGTTGAGGACTTTCAGCCCTCCCGGCAGCGGAGAGCTGTGACCCCTTCAGCACATGAGGCTGCGGAGGATGGAAAATTTTAGGCGTTCTGCTGCTGGCGAAGGGAGCCTGTTTACTGCCCAGAGGGGAAGGGCAGCACCCACTGGCGCAGGGATTTCTTGGCTCCCTGCAATCTCCCCCAAGGGTTTTGGCTGCCAACGCCCGGCTGGTGGCCGACCTTCCCTGCCCCTTTCCCAGACGGTGCCCGGCCTTGCCCACGGGCCAGGCTGAGCCGTGAGGTTCAGCTTGGGTTTGGAGTGGCCGGCTGGGACACTGTGCCTGTGCCCAGTGGTACTGTCATCCTCACAGTGGGAGCTTTGCCACGAAAGCTGGCACCCGAGTGGGTCCCGCTAGCTGTAGCCATCTGCATGTGCCCATGGCCTTTGGCTCAGCGCTGCTGGAACCGGGGTCTGGCACCAAACAATGCTGGGCTTGGTGCTCCTGCCTGCTCCCCGGGGAGCCAGTGGGTGGCCAGGGAGCGCTTCCGCAGATTCAGCTCCATTTCCTTCCCCCGCCGACCCCGGCACACCCTCGCACTCCG